GTAGCTAGGGATGATTTTCAAAAACCAATTACTTGGTCATCTTTGTTAAAATTCATTTTTTAAAATAGCAAATGAGCACCCAGTACATATGGTGAGCTAAAGATTTATAAATCTCATTTCACAAGCAAGGCTTTTGTATTTTTTGGTCAGATTAGATACGTAGTGTTCCAAAAAGCATTCAAATCAAGGAAATCTGTTGTTTTGTTTTTGCACTCCTACAATTTAAAAAAAATGGAAAAACATAATCTCGTCCTTACATAAATTGGCAAAACAAATATCTCCCTCTTGGGCTCACAGTTCAAGAATGAAGCTGCTGCCCAGAGCAAAAGTTTATTTTAACCAAGGATTAAACCCCTGAAAGAGAGTTTGGCAGATAAATTGTGATTGACCATTAGCTATATTGGCACTGTTTGGCAGTGCTATAACATTTACACACAAAATACTATCTGTAAATAACATTATGTTCCTAACACAAATGCTGATATACATTTCACCTTGAACTCTCACCCATTTGATAAAATCGCTCAACATGCCAATAATTTTCTTTGGAGCCATTGCAGAGGACTGGTTACAAAGGATCTGGTTCCACACATATGTTGAACTATGTGTATTATTTACTCTAAAGGCTGTATTTTGGCACGAACATGTTAAAAAAAGAAAAGGCATGCGGGGTAGTGGGAATAGTATTTGATCCAACAGACTGGAGATGGGGTAGTATACTGTGTACAAATATATTTGAATGCTTAGAATACATGGTATTTCTGTGTGAGAGATTCCCCCCCCCCCCTTTGTATTTCGGACCCATTGCACTCTACTGCAATAGTTCTTCAGGCCCAGAAATGCAGTCCCTATCAAGGCAAAAATCCTGGTGCAGTCAATGTGCCTGATTCCTCCTACAGTTTTATCCATGCAGCCCTAGGGATTCTTTAGGGTTCCATGGTGTACATTAAGGCTGTTACCCTGCGAATACTTAGACGAGCCATCAACACTGAACTCAATGAGCCTACCCCGCCACTGCCTTGTGCTTTTGCAGTCATTTAGACCAGCGCAGTGTGACTACAATGAGTGTGAAATGCCACCATCCCTATAATAAGGCTACAGTATATCAGTGCACAAGTGGGTTAAAATCCATTTGATTGCTACCGTATTATAACAAGTGCCTTGTATGACACTGCTTTTTTAATTTTACATTAGGATACATTCAAAATATATTAGAGTGACATGTAACATGCTGGTACACATTATACATGTCATGTCAAGCACAGTCTTGGTAACTAGAAGCCATTCTGCCAAACAGAAGCCTGATGTAATTCCATTGCCTCACATGGAGTTGTTCCAAGAATAAATATGGCTTATTGTGGCCATAGAAAATAGCAGTAATTGGAGGCTTTAATTCATAGGCTATTTTGGGATAGTATGGGGTATAATGGATATCATTGCCCTCTGTTAATTGGATATTCAGTGATCCTCAGAAATGAAAAGCAGTGAAGCTTCTGTAACCCCAGAATTTTCTGATCTACAGGAATCACCATGCCCGAAGGGGCCTATAGCTCCCAGACTACATAGATACTCTTATTTTTTTATATTATATTGAACACATTCTCTCCCTAACCATTTTGTGGCCACGGCTATTCTGAAGCTATTTTACATGCACAAGGACACTCCGGTTCTTTAGAATCCATTCCCCATTTTTACAGAGTAGATAGGATTGCCATGCAATGCTACAGAGACATGACAAGACACCAATACTGTTCACATTTCTACTGTGTTCAGAATTCTCACAAAACCCAGATAAATTGGTTCCTTCAGGAAAAAAAAGACTATTTAACAAATCACTCCCCCTTATCCACCTCAAGTTACTGTTCTACAGTTAATTACAAAGAACACATATTAGACTATTGAGTGTTATAGCTCACATATTGAAATGTAGTTCAGCATTATTTTTCAGTTTGAAGAGATTTTTCTTTTTTACTAATGATTTACACATCTGAAGACAAGACATTGATCAGGATATCATCATTTCTTAAAAACAAAATCCTAAAATGTTAACATGGAAATGCTATTTAACAGAATGTTAAAGATTCGTGGGCAGATCTGAGAAGTCACTTTCAGGCTAGGTCTTTTCCAGTAAAAATGGCTTCTGATGAGACTGCAACTCTAATTGTTAGGTACGGTCTATTTCCGTCTTTTAAATCACTGTTGAAAAACTATATTGAAACTGCTGGCATACAAAATGTTTATTATATTATAAATTATTTGTACACTGTATTTTAACTGTGTCATTGCATTGTGCTCAGAGAGCATAATTATAACATGATTTCTCTTTCCAGGAATGTCCTTACTGTCTTCATATAACTTTTTTCTGTAGTTCTTTTAAAAACTGCAAAATGAGGTTATAAACAAGATAAAAAGCCATTACGAATGAAGAGATTAAAATGCATCTGTGAATAAAGTGCACCACAGTGTTTTTCTAAGTAAACCAGGGAATTTTTCAATAGATAGCACATCTTCAATATAATCCCAAACAGAATTAACTTTGGATATCTAACAGTTCTTCCCCAGGTGCGGGGGGTGGGGGGAGGAGTTGATTTAACTTTGCCATCATAGTTTTGTCTCTCTAGGAGGATGCTAAGCTAAAATTTAAATGAAAATTATACTGGTGAAACTTGGTGTAGATAAGGCCTAACAGACAAATTCAGCCCTGGTGTGAGAGAGTACAGTTCCTACTGAAGCCAATGGGAATTAGTCCTGCTTACAGCAAACTGAATTTGGCCCAGTATCTATAAGCCTTCACTTTCAAATGCAATATTTTCAGGGAGACAGAAATTAACACAAAAAGACATTTGGATTCATTGTGTTACACTCATGAGATTAGTATTAGTTGGTTGATAGGGAACTGAGACACCAGTCTGTCTTCATTAGACTCATATTTATATGAAAGGCTGAGTTTCTTTGGTGCTTTGTTCATTCAAGTTATCCAACTGCCTATTTGTGTACTCTAGGCATCAGGTATCAATCTTCACCAATAAGTTGCTCAAGATTTTTCCCTTTTTTGCAATTGGTTTATGGTAATTTTCTGTCCATAATAGATTGGTCATGTGTATAAATATACAGCATATATTTACATAAAGATTACAAAAATACATTTCATTTATATCTAATTAAGTAACAAAAATGAAATTTCACATTTGTTTAAAGATCAACTAGCATTCCAAAATCTTTGAATAGGTAAGGTCTTTAGAGCAAGAGACATCTGTTTCTTCCAGGGTAGCTATGCATCACTATCTGGAATGAGTTTTTTTAATTTTAATTTTTTGAAAAAATAGCTCTGTTTTAAAAGTTTGTGCTTCAACAATTTCAACATCTCATTCCAATCTTTTCTTTTCTTTTCCTGTCCAGTCAATTTTTTTTCAAATGGCCATAAAGCTAAACCAAGCTCCCATTCTCATCTCAGTAAAGACCAAAGAAACTCATTACGAAAATGGAATGACCAGATAAAATAGCATATGCATCTGAAGCTGAATAAATTAACAGGATGAACAACATTACCTTTAACTTCACTAGCCAAACATGCCCAGAACACAGCATCCCATAAGCAACTTCAGTTCCCAAAGCTAAATTATTACTGAAGGAACTGGAAGTATTTTGCATAATCTCCTAACTATTTTGTGTGAGATTGCAAAAGATGAATACTGTCAAATTCAGCTGTTTAGGTTTTTGTGGAGGTCGGATTCATATAACAGTGCAGTATAACCTTTATCTTGAGCAGTCTACAGTCATTGTAGGTTCAGCAAATACCCCTCTTTTTCACAGAACAATAATATTTTGTTAAATCCACATACTTGTTTACTTATTTACACTTTAATGTAATCAGCAGGTCCTCTACATTCAGAATTTCCTACAGAGACTGAGAATTCTAGAGTTCGTGTATTCATTGCTCCAGTGTAATCAAAGTCAATCACAGCTTCAGGTAGCATTCTCTGGCATCACTTTACTAGATGTCATTGTTCAAGAAAGAGTACAAAGCACTATGTTAAATAGAGGTCTTCTTGTCAAAGCAGGTGTATTCATTATTCCAGGCTGGATAGATTTGCTCAAGGTTCTCAAATTTACCAGCTTCACAATGCATTCAGAATGAATACCTCTTGAATGTAGGACAAAACTCAAATAACCATTTTTCATTTGTGGGTTTCTGAAAGCTTTTAGCACCCACTTTCTTTGTTAATCCTCCTTCCCATCGTGCAGCACAGGCTCTCTTAATATTGCAAACACATTCTCTGTAACTCAACAGTGGCATTAGTGAACACTGAAGCCACCAATTACCCCAATACAATTAACTCTCTTCACAGTCTTCTCTTCTTTCTGGCCTTTGTACTCTTAATAGGATGAGAGCTGGGACTATTTACAGGGTACATTGTTTATATTACTTATTCACATCAAATTCTTGTGGTTTGAATGTGATCTCTAGAAGGAAAGGACTGACATTGCTTTGCTGCATTCAGCGCTGATTATTTTGTAATGAACTATTAATATGATCTCTACCATAGAAGATTTATGGCCTTTAGTTTACTCAGTACTACTGTATTTTCTTCTTTAATCACAGAAATAAAATTGACATGCAGAAGTTATTTTAGACAGTTCTACTTTTGTGCCCCTGATTCTTAATAGACTGTAGGATTACACAGACATATGTTTAATAGCATCCTAGTGACAAAGGGCTCATAGGACAAGAGCTAAGTGACAAACAATTGCATATCATAAATAGAACTTATCAGTATTAAAGAGTTGCCTGGCAGCATCTCCTTATCCAGCAAACAAACAGAGTCTGTATCTTCAAGTCCTCTTGTTCTATTTCATTCCATTTCACAATAACCTAGTGTTAATCTTTCAGGAGAAAAATGCCATCACTTTGGCACAAGTTGGAGCAAGTTTTTAACTGAAAATTAAGACTTACTTCCTTGGCTACAAGGTACGTGATACAAACACTGTGCACAAAGGTATTAGACCTGGAACTCAAACATGTCTGTTTGTTTCTTGGCCAGTTTAGCAACCTCCTCTCTTATTGCCTTCACTAGAGCAGCTGTAGAAATGTTGGTAAGAGGTGTGTCAGAAGGGTCGTTTTCTGAGAGGCTATGCTGAGAAGCTGCAGTAGAAGGCAGCGGAGCCTGTTCCAGACTAGGATGCATGTTTGCTGGCTGACTGTACTGGCGGGGAAGTCTTGAAGGAGAGTTATGTTGGTAGCGTGATCGTGGATAAGCCTCTATGTAACCAGGGAGTGGAACCTATAGAAGAGAGCAATCACACAAAATAGCTGGCCTTCAGGTCACCTATTACGTAATCTAACACTTCAGAGAACTCCATGCAGTCGGATCCAAATGAACATATGGCTCTTGGGGCCACATTAACAGAAAGCAGACTTCCTACTCATAGTGCCACTTCACTGTGTACATTTTTGTATGTGCTGTTCGTAAGCAACAATCAGTGTTAAGTTCCCAACTATCCAAATTGTGTGAACAAATTCTCTTTGCAGAGGGAAAAAAAACACTGTACATGCTAAACTGGTCACCACTACAAGGGCAGATAGATGCCTTGTTGAAAGAGCGTCCCTTTATTATTTTTGTATGAGTCTTTGCTTTCCTATAGCTGATTTCAATACGTAGATTTATCACAGTATCCTGAAAAATATCTAAGGCATAAATTATACTTAAAAAGCCAAGGGAAGAAGAAAGGAGTTTGCTGGCTTGAAGCACCACTGTCTAATCCACATGAAGCAAGCAGCCAGGTTCTGAGTCTTAACGCTCCCAATAAAAACTGACAGTGGACATAGTATTAGAGACAGGATATCTGGGTCACTTGCAGGTTTAAACTAGTATAAATGGTGGATTCTCTGTAACTTGAAGTCTTTAAATCATAATTTGAGGACTTCAGTAACTCAACCAGAGGTTATGGGTCTATTACAGGAGTGGGTGGGTGAGATTCTGTGGCCTGCAGTGTGTAGGAGGTCAGACTAGATGATCATGATGGTCCCTTCTGACCTTAAAGACTGAGAGTTTATGAGTTCAGCACTAAGGAGCTGCCTCACCATTTACTAAAGGGAAAAACGAAGTGTTCAACCTGTCTGCTAAAATTGGGAAGAAAGTCCTTTTTCTATATATCCTCTATACTAGGGGTGGCCAACCTGAGCCTGGTAAGGAGACAGAATTTACCAATGTACACTGCCAAAGAGCCACAGAAATACGTCAGCAGCTCTCCCACCCCGCTCCCAGCGCCTCCCACCCACCAGCAGCCCTGCCGATCAGCACCTCTCCCTCCCTCCCTCCCCGCACCTCCCGATCAGCTGTTTCGTGGCGTGCAGGAGGCTTGAGGGGAGGGGGAGGAGCAAGGGCACTGCAGGCTCAAGGGAGGGGGCAGAGTGGTGACAGGACCTGGGGCGGAGTAGGGGGTTGAGCAGCGAGCACCCCCCAGCGCATTGGAAAGTTGGCGCCTGTAGCTCCAGCCCTGGAGTCGGTGCCTATACAAGGAGACGCATATTAACTTCTGAAGAGCCACATGCAGCTCCGGAGCCACAGGTTGGCCACCCCTGCTTTATACCCATCATTGCACAGCTGGCTATGTGCTTTATTGGACAAGGAGCTTTGACTTCTCTGAAACATCAGGTTTAATGGCCAAATTCAACCCCGGTGGAACTCTTAACTCAAATGCAATTATACCAGAGATGAATATGGTCCATTGTGTCAATCAGAAATAAAGGTAATTGGAAGATTTTATTCCCACATTGGACCAGATATGCCACAGTTACACTTCAGTTTTACTTTGCCCTAACTCCATTGATTTCAGTGGAGTTTCAATGGCTTAAATTAGAGTATCAATGAGGAATCAGGCCCTTCATCCCTACGGGATACTAAATGTTGCTGGCGCAACATTCTGATCCTCAATGGCAAGCTCTAAATTCTTATCAAAAACTGAATTTGAGGAAGTTTTAGAACTCAGCTTCTAACTAATTTTACTTGTTTTGCAAACTGCCTAGCAAATTGGTAAAGAAACAACAGCATTTAATTTTAAGGGATGTTTTAAGCCACTGTATTTAAAGTTGTGGTTCATTTTCTTAATTAGACAAAGTAATTTTACCCGAGAAAGAGTTTACTGATACAGAGTAACCATTTTAAATCCAATTAGAAAAAATGAAAAGAAATCTCACTGATTTACAGATTTGAAGTGATTTGCACAGAATCCTACAGTCATCATAAATCACTAGAAAAGCCATTAAAATGCATACGCATAGAAAAGATAGCCTGATAATTCTTTTAGTTTTAATTAGAAAAGGACTGGGGCCAGATTTTCAAATGAATTTAGTTCCCATTTAGGCATCTAAATGAAGTCGCCAGATTTTCCAGTGTTCAGCACTCAGCAGCTTCCACGGAGAACAATCAGAGCTGTTGGGTAAACCGTTGATAGCTGAGCACCTTTGGAAATTTGGCCGTTTTATTTAGGTGATAAATGGGAGCTCTTGGGCACTGAACTTCTGAAAATCTGCTCACTACGGGAGGGATTTTCAAAGATATTAGGTGTCTAAAGTTGCAAATAGGCACCCAGTGGGATTTTGAAAAGCACCTAAACATGTGGGGAGGGGGGGACAAACTCCTATTGAAATCAATAGGAGTTAGGCGCCTAACTGCTTAGGGCCTTTTGAAAATCCCATCAGATACCTATTTGCATCTTTAGGCACCTATCTTTGAAAATCCGTTCCTTCATATTACATATGCTCCGCAAGATTCAGGGTATTTCCGTCCACTTGATGCACAAAATATAAAATCCACCAGGCATAGTATTTGCCTGAGTACTAGATGGAAGTGGTATTTAAATACAGCCAAGAGGCTGCACCCCTTTTTAGTACAGAATTGGACTGATCACATAGCAAAATTTCATACTGAACAATATATAAAAACCACTAGAGGTCACTATTTTACTGCTTTTACTCAGCAGCAACTGAAGATTTGCTTGGACGATCAGAGCCCCACAAGATACATTTCCCTTCCTCCACCAAATATAAAGCTTCAAATCTTTGCTTTTCTTTGAGAAAGTAAAGCATTAAAGTAAATGAAGCTTAAAGTAAATTCTCACAATTTCACCAATATTTGGTGTTTTTTAAAGCCCCAGCTCCAGGAGGCATGTGATTAGTGGAGAATCTGTTTTCATTTTTTAAAAAGTAAGATTCTAGCCCTCGTGGTTTCAGAAAGAAAGCATGAAATCAAGTCCCAAATGCATTCTAAAGGCTCACAAACCAGAAGACAGAGAAAAACCTCCAAATGTTTTCTTTTTAATTTCATGATTTTGAGGACCAATTCATGATTTTTTTAACATATTGAATTGGCAATATTGTGATTCTATTCCATAGTGACACTTTTCAGATTCAGGAGGTCCCTGGGCATGATATAAAGCATTGGGGGGCAGGATCTGGGTTAAAAAAAAAGGGATATTTTTCCACATTTTTTCTTTTCTTTCCCTTGCCTCGTAAGTAACCCTGCTTCCTGGCTGTGGGCTCATAAGGAGATGCCAGCCCCGTTTACCAGGAGGTAGGGACTAAAAGCTCTGAAGGATAAATGTAGCTGAAGGAAATCTGCTGCCTTCTCCTCTAGAAGAGGGATTCATACCCCCTCCTGCCAGAATGATATTTTGGGAGCCCCCCCCCCCCCCAATTCTTCCTCTCTGCCTCCTCATATACAAAGATGGGAACTACTGCATGTAGCAGCTGCCCCAATACCGGTCCTATGACCCTTCCCCTCCCACCCCCTCGCAGGCCTCTCTGGCCTCTGTGTGTAAACCATATAACATATTATTATACAGAAAAACAAGAACACTTACCGAGTCTGCCCATTGCCCTGGTAATTCATTATCTCCAGCATAGGGCATCCAGGCTTGGTTCCTGTATGCTGTGGGTGGTGTTGGGATGAAATAGCCTGTGAATCCAGGTCGGTTTGCTGCTGGTATGGCAAACACTGCTGGTACTGTATTTCCTATCAAGCAATAGGGCAGAGATGATTAATAGTTGATAATATTAGCTATAAACCTAGAGGATCATTACAAAGTGTACCTGAAGCAGCCTGAGGAGAAACAATGAGTCTGTGTGAGAATGTTGATAACATCAAACTAGAATATGATCGCTCCTATCAGCTGCACAGAGCCCTTTTCTAAAAAGGCAGAGCATATTAGAGAAGCTAAGGACTGTATGTTGCAGATCAGGAGTGAGGTGTATTTGTAAAGTCATCTCAGGAAGTATGCACCATAGTTGGTTCAGAAGGAGGGGAGCTCAAGGATACGTAGTGGATATGGCTAGCTTCTCCCTTCCTACATGGGTTGGTGGTCATGCCCCTAGTACATTCATTATCTCATGACCTACCTCCAATATCTATCTACAACATTCACAGAATCATAGAATTGTAGAACAGGAAGGGACCTCGAAAAGTCATCTAGTCCAATCCCCTGCACTCATGGCAGGACTAAGTATTCATGAGGGAGCAGAGGTCTCTTTGTGCTGGATTTTCACTACTGTTGCCCCTTCTCCCAACTGACACACATTTTGCCTTTGTAGGCCCAAAGAAGACACCTTAGGATCAGACCCATTCTCAAATAACTGATTTCTATTAAAGCTAAAAGTCATTACAAAAGACTAGTGTAACAGGGCACACAAGCCTCCACACAAGACAGGAAATTACCAGCTAAAAATAAGACACCTGGAGCTGGAAGCAGGCTTCCAGCGAGGGGTTTAAGAAGAAGAGCCCTGCTAAGCTGGAGAGGAGCAGGCAAAGATAGCAGATGTAGAGTTCTTTCTGTGGGAGAGAAACTGGCCAAGGTCAAGGTGGTGCTTAGCACATCTCCCAGAGGAAAATACACTTCACCTAGTGTATTGTTTTTTTAGAGAATAACTGGCAGCAGCTAGTCCCACCTATTTTGTTGGCATAAAAAAACAGTCTTCCAGAGTGTCGTTCACAACGATGGCATACAATCTCTTCTGATGCCCCACCTCAGCCTCTGTTTTTAAACAGACTTGTAAAGAATGTTATGCTGCCAGGGCTGCCAGATGCTTGGAGTATTGCGGAGTTGGTATGCTCAGAAATGGGAAGACTCAGCCAGTGCACTACAGCCTCTAGGGGAGTGCCCTAGGGGGCATTCAACACAACTCTTCAACTCAATTAAGGAGAGGAATTAAGCTTGGAGTGGAGCTTCATGCAGCCCTAGGCCGGAAGGATTGTGAATGCAATTCAGGGCTCATAAAGAGGTGAAAGATATGTTTTACAGCTAACTTCCCTCACTAGGACCATTATTGTTAGGAAAGATTTATAGGGAGCAGTACCTCTACCCTGCTCTTTATAGTCACAGGGCTAGATTGTGGCAGTTAGACACAAGCCCCGAGCAGAGGGTGGTGTGGAACTGCACCACCACAGGAATAGCATTGGGGATACTGTCTTAGGCAAGTACAGTCACCTTGGTGCTGCTCCCTGAACAAGGTAGTGTGCAATTTATACCAGTCATTGTGACTGGCACAGAATGCTACCTGCAGTTTGCCAGCCCATTTCCAGGAGCAAATAGTGAAGTGTTGGACCATTAGCCCACGTCTTCCCCACTCCCTTTTCAGAGTACCTGCTCCAGGAGTTGCCAGGGTGGAGGGAGGAAGAGGGGTGAGTGCCTCTGTGCATCCCAGAGCACACAGGGACTGGTATTGTAAGACCATGTGCATGGCTGGGGGAGAAGCTTCTTGCTCAACCATGCACAGACAAGGGGCGGGGGCCATCCTGCACTAAAACATGTCTTCTGCCCCAAAAGCTTACCATCTAATTAAGGCAAGACAAACATACATACTAAGTGTACAATGATATTCCTGTGTGATACCTTATTGTAATTCTTACTGAATATAATCTGTAGTTTCAAATTAATTAGGATTACCATATATCAATCCTGCAAAAAGAGGACACTCCACGGGGCCCCGGCCCCGCCCCTTCCCCGCCCCAACTGTGCCCCGGCCCCGCCCCTTCCCCAAAGTCCCCACCCCAACTCCGCCCTAGGGGGAACAAAAGAAAAAAAAAAAAAAAAGCAGTGGCAGAGGGAGGCCCGGGAGACGCAGGGGAGCGCGGGGCAGGGGTGAGTGAATCTGGCCTGGCCCCGAGTGCAGGCAGGACTCGGGCACGGAACCTAGAGGGTGAGTAGGGGGGCGGCCCGTAGGGCCAGGCAGCGGCTGTTCCTTCTCCCCATCTGGGCAGCCGGACTCGGGAGCAGCCGCTGCTGCAGCTCCCACTGCCGCGGGGGGAGGAAGCGGCCAAGCACGTGGCGCTCGGCGGCTGCGGCTCTGGCACCCGGGCCCAAACCACCCGAGCCCGGGCCTGCTGTGGGGACCCAGCAGCGCGCACGCTGCGCCCAGCCCCCGGCCAGTCGCGTCTGGGCTGGCTGCCCAGCTGGTGCAATCCCACGGGCGGCCCCGGGGCGGAGGCATCGGCAGCCCCGTTCCTTTCCCGAGCGGGACGGGGGGGCTGGGGCCTGCTGCCCCCACTCCGGGGCCGTCCGCAGGATTGCACCAGCTGGGTCCCCGCAGCAGGCCCAGACTCAGGGAGTTCACGCCCCGGGTGCCAGAGCCGCAGCCGCCGAGTGTCACATGCTTGGCTGCTTCCCCCCCGTGGCAGTGTGAGCTGCAGCAGCAGCTGCTCCCGAGTCCGGCTGCCCAGGTTGGGAGAACGAACAGCTGCTGCCTGGCCCCGGAAAGTTGGAGCCCGGGGAGGAGGCGGTCCCCTTACCATGCCTCCCTATTTTCCCGGACATGTCCTGCTTTTTGTAAATTCCTCCCGGACGGGGATTTGAGGACCAAAAAGACGAACATGTCAGGGAAAATCCGGACGTATGGTAACCCTAAATTAATGAGCAGGATTTTCATCTGAATTATGGCAACTTTGTGCTGCCCCAGGCAGAATCAGGATCTGGGACAATATATAGATATATTTAAAGCTGGTGCTTATCTAATCAGAGCAATAGAATCTCTTTGTCCCTAAATCATTCTGAAGTCGACTACTCTCACACTGAAAGACAAGGCTAGGACAACTCAAGCATTCTCAGCTGTTCCAAGTACTTATAATACCTTAATATTTCATCCAAGGAGCCCATTTCATACAAACTTAAACCAAATATACACAGATCATTTTATCCTCTACTGAAGTGCAGCATCTCTGAGAAAAAAACATGTCATTTTCCTTTTAATACGGCACAGCAATAAATCTCCAGAGTACAGGAAAAGAAGTGAAGAATGTTACTCAGTTGAAACTGCAGGACACACATCCTGCTGAAGGCAGAATATATAAAAGGGGCACTCTAAAGTGTGGGATATTGTATACTTCAAAATGTTTTAAAATTATTGAGCCTCAGTGCTTGCTTCCTTTTAGATCCATATGTTCCACAGAAGTTACAGGCAACACATTACAGTTTAGGGTATCCACATTTTTATACTCAGTAGTACATGGTGAATATGATGCAGATAACTAATACTTCTGAGGAGGCTGCGAGACAAACTGTTCAGAAACATTAAAGGCGCGATGTCTAATAAGCCTGTCAATTTCAAAACCCAAAGTCTCAGGGTATGTCTACACTACAGGATTAATCCGAATTTAGATAATTCGAATTTGGGAAACAGGTTGTATAAATTCGATTGTGCGCGGCCACACTAAGCACCTTAATTCGGTTTTAAACCACATTAATTCGGTGGTGTGCGGCCACACTACCCCATTAACTTAAACACAGTAATTCGGTGGTGTGCGTCCACACTAACCCTAATTCGAATTAACAAAATCGATTTAGGCTCTACTCCGTTCGTCGAGGTGGAGTACAGAAATCGATTTAAAGGGCCCTTTAATTCGAATTAACTGGCTCTGTAGTGTGGACGGGTGAAGGGTTAATTCGGATTAAGGCAGCTAAATCCGAATTAAAGTCCTAGTGTAGACCAGGCCTAAGTCTTTAGAATTTAGAAAGCCAAATTTTTGTAGCTTTTCATTAATAGTTATATTTTGTCAATGGGAAGCCATTTTCCCAGGCAGATGTTAGCCAGCTAAATAGTGTCAAAACAATATGGCCCCTTGGTCTCTGCACTATTGTGCCTCGGTCGGGCACTATGCCCCAAAACACACAGAGGGAGCAAAGCTGTTGCATTACCCACTGACTGCATGCACTCTGGTGTGTTGGGGAGTGGGGATGGGACCACTTCTTCCTATTCCTTCTGGGAGGCTCTTGGCTCATGGGTTCAGATTTCTGAAGCCAACTAGGGGATTTAGCTCTCTCAATTAGAGTTGTGTGGTTAAATCTCAGTCAACCTTGAAAATGTCAACCATGTGCTCTGGTGTGTGCAAGGACTGTCATTGTGCCCAGATCCTTGCACCCTTCTCTTCCCCTACCTTAGACACCTGTTCAGGGCCAAGCACCGTAAAGCCTACAATGGAGATGTTTCTGTGGTGCTACCTATGGCCTTGATCCAGCAAAACACTTAAGCACATGCTTATCTCTATGCACTTGGGTAGTGTCGATGCAACTATCCACATGCTTAAAGTCACAATGGGAGTATCCATGTGATTAAAGTTAAGTGTAGTGTAAATGTCTTGCTGGGTCAGGGCCTGGCCTGGCCTACACTAGACTGGATTTGCTGGTTTTCCCAGATCAGCAAATCCCCTATTGGAGATGCAAATTATACCTGTAAATGATCTCTCCCCCCCCCCCCCCCTTTTTTTGGTATAGCTTACACCAGTTCCTTGAATGAAGTTAGCTATACTGCCAAAAGGTCTTTTGTATTGGTATAACTACATCTACACTAGGGCTTTTGCAGGCACAGCCATGTCAAATGGGGTGGAAAAAAATCAGCTCTATTGCTCATGGGTATATGTCAGCAAAACTTTTAAGGGTAGGCCTAGGGCTAAAAGAACTTAAGTGAAGTGCAGAGGAGCCCTTCTTGTTGGGCACAGTAACAGCTATTTATTTGTTAGTCATTCTTTTGTGAGTAGGCTTGTTAATATCAACATACTATCCCATACCAGCGTGTAATAAGGGTTGCTAGTGATTTATCAGAGAACAGACCAACAAACTACCACCCTGAAGATTGGTGATTCAAAACCTCTTGATTTCAGATCCTCATAGCTAGACTCAGGCTTAGTGCAAGCAGCAAACAAAATTAACTACTAAAGTATTTTATTTCAAAGATTGGAAGTTTTTATAGTACCAAATTCAGAGAAATCCCCACCCTAACTAAAGTCTATCTTCTGATGATGTCTTCACTCATGGTGTGGTAGAGTGTAAGTGTGTGTGTGTAGATGGGGGGCGGGATTAGTGAGGTCAACACACAAGTGGAGAAGGTGTTCAGATTTGTTTTATTAAACACAGACAGCTAGGCTGGCTGACTGACTGATGTTACAATATTATGTGGGGGGGGGAAATTCTCAGACTTTGCTTGAAGGGCCTGAGGCAGCAAAGAGCCGCAACTCTCAATGTGAGGGGAGTGAGCAGAGCTAGTGAGTCGACCACAGGAATTGCATTAAACTAGTGAGAACATGGGAGTAAAATAAATGCAATGAGTGCTGGAGAAGAGAGAGAAAGAAAGTCTCTCTTTGGGGCCTGATTTCCTCAAACATATTTCACCCTTTTATTCATTGTTTTCTTTTCCTCTTTTTCCAAGTGGAACAATAAGAAACTTCGTGTTTTGTTTTGCAAGCAGCGCCTTTCTGGGGTCAAAGTGCAAAAAACTCAAGCTCCCATTGACTCGTGTTTGTTTTGACCACTACAGACAAGGTTGCTTGTACTCTGCTGCACTCTATACCTACATTAGGTGGCAAGGTCCCCCCAGTTTATGATCGAACAGGGCTAAATTATGCAGCAAGGTTAACTGATTACTGAGTCATTCAAGAATCTTCTCTCTTAGTGCATCACACAGTGAAACAATAATTAATCCAGGCTCTGACTTGCACTGTAGCAGAGGATACTAACAGTTTTGGTATTTCCACTATGGCTTTGGAAACAGAAACAAACAAACAAACAAAAAGACATTTTAAGCCACTTTTTCTTCCTGTCCTGCTGCGTGTGAAGTTAATCAGGAATAGCTGGTGCAGACTCTGACATGAGAGTTCTGTGAGGATGTGGGGAAATGTTATCACAATAGAACCTATAGGTCCCAGCTGAGATTGGAGCCCCGTTGCAGTGGGCACTGTACAAACACATCATAAGAAACAGTCACTTCCCCAAGGAGTTCACAATCTAAATAAAAGAGCCAGATAAAGTGTAGCAGGGGAAACAGAGGCAGAGAGGGGAAGTGACTCATTCAAGATCACCCAGCAGGTTAGTAGTGGATCTAGGAACAGAACCCTAGTCTCCTATTCCTGTGCCCTCTCTACTGGACCACACTACCTCCCTTGAACAGGACTCCAGCTGCTCTAGCCTCTACTGTCAGAAGTTAATTCATCTGACCTCATAAAGTCATAGTTCATTCCAGTGAATAGGGGGAAGGGGCAGTTGATATTTGCTGCTGCTGGGGATTTGAAACAGGGCAGTGAGCTCTCACCACACAAGCCAGGGAGGAAGGGCAGCTCTTGCTATACTTTTAGCAGCACTGGACAGGGAGGTAGGCGAGCTCTGTGTTTAGGAGAGGGCTAGGAGCTGCATTTCCCCCTGCTCTCCCCTTATTTTAACCCTGGGTTGCTGCTACTGTTTGTTCAGAGACAGCATTCAATCATGCAAGGCTGGGAGAGTGGCAGGCAGATTGTAGTTCCTGCAGGTTTCAAAAGCTTTGCATGGCAACTGCCTCCTACAAACCAGGACTCAACAAGTAGTGTGGCCATACTTGCTCTTGATGAACTCCCAGGCCCTTGACCAAGCCACACAATCTCCACTCCATACATTCCACTGGTTTCCTGGTAAATACAATTATTTGACTTGGGCTTCAATAATTCAGAGCCTTGTTTAGCGATTCCCAAGAGCAGTCAGAAGATATCAGATCACAGTTACAACCTGACTTGGAAGATGAGTCACAAAGATAACATCCAGACAAAGATTAGAGGTGTCCAGATCCAGTTTTTAAGAGAAATGGAATCTGCAGTTATTCTTGTGATACAGATATTGCAGTGGATATAAAGGGGATTCTTTGCTAAAGTTTCTGTCACTGACAAAATCCTCTCACTCTCTAGTTTCCAGTCCAATTAAACAGTCTGTTATTTTGATGTCACCACATGGGGTCTCCCTAGCCCCAACCTAATTAGTTGCAGGATGGACTGCTGAATACAGTACAGGAGCCAGAAATCTGCCATATTGGAACATAGATCATTTGGTTCACTTACTCCAGCGTCCTGCCTATAGAAGTGGCTAGTACCTGGTATGTTTAAAAAAAAAAAAAAAAAAGCATAACTTCCATCACATTACACCTGTAATGATGCATGTGACAAGTGGGGCAAGACAGGGTACCCTATGTTGACCCTCAAGCCACCAAGAAAAGCATTTAATAAATCCTTCTCCATAACCATAAATAACAATCTGTGCTTGCAATATCCCATACACTCATCTGTATACAACCCAGATTGTGGAGGTGATTTCTGTTTGTACCACACTCATTTTCACCTGAGTAGTTCAATGCTGACTGATCCAATGGACCCACAGACACTGGACCTCTTGAACCTGGGGCAAAGGATGCAGGATCATGCTGTTGGGCCTGCTCGGTCCCACTGGATTCAGATATTCTTGTCTTGCTGCCAATATCTGATGTCGACCTGCACATTAAAAAAAGCAGCAAGAACCTTTGGTAATTCTGACTGATAGGCAATATCCTCAACAAGGGTGGCAGGAGTTGCAAGCAGAAAACAGAAGGAAACTATTTGCTTTTTTCTGTGGCATCCCTGGTTGCATGAACATCAATAGAAAGCAACTTCCTTTGTCCTTCGCCACTATCTTCTATAGTATTTTTTACAATTCTACAGCCCATTCACTCAACACTCCAAAATAGATCCCAGTGACATAGGACACAAAAAATACAGGTACACGGTCTTTCAATAATAAGATACAACAGACAATGCTGGATAATTACCACCTGGTGTGGTGTTATAAAGCAGAAGGCTGAGTGATTTTCGCTATGTGTAGAGCACTCTTGTCCCTAAGAAATGCCATGCATCAATTGTCTCCCAACATGAAATTTAACTGACAAAAATAAGCCAAGCAATGAGAATTATGCATTTCCTGAGGTCATTATATCATTGGCAGCCAATCAGAAGAGCTCCATTAGTGTTTGGCATTCTAACGGAATTTCATAGTAACAGCCAGCAGGCATACAGTCCTTTAGGATCATAGTATGCCCCAGGTGGTGTTATACAGTACATGGCTGAAGGCCAAGTGACTTCATCCACCTGAAAAGGGCAATAATTGCTCAGAAATGCTTTATTGCTATGGTGAAGCAAAATGTATAGATTAAAAGTAAAGAAAACAGACATGCATTTATTAGGCCTGAGAAACATGAGAAAGAAATATCCGACAGTCAGTCAGCAATCCCTGACTGAGTCCAGAGTTCCAAAAGCCATTTTATTATATATCCGTATCATTTTCTATTCTATAGGTCTGGACGACTTAGAAAAGAAAAGCGGAGTGGAAGTGAGTGTGAAATTTCCACTACTTTATGCAATATATGCCATTACGTCTTTTTAAAGTAGAGTCAAACCATGGCTTAAGAGATATCAGAGCATAGATTTGTTACATTTATTAGGCAACTGACTAGCTAACAGTGGAATATGGGATCCTTTGTTGTTTATTTTCTTCCACCATGTTGAAATTTAAGCACCGGAAATGAAAACAGATAGTTCTTAATTTCATTAATGTCTCTTCATTACGAGGAAGATGGCTATTAAATGCCACTAGAAGTTATAGTTATGGAGTCATTCTCATTAGAGCAATAGAGATTTACAGTTCTTGGCTATAACAAAATAACAATGAATTACCTCCTGAGAGATGCCACAGCCACAGGACCTGTTCTGGGAGGAACCGGGGGTGGGGGAGAGCCCATTACCATTTCAGGAAGCTGAGAAAACCTATACGCCTGTGAAAGAGAAAAATGAATATTTTCTAGAATATCAATTAACCGTATTTTAAAACACAACATCATGAGAACCTAAAAAGTGAAGATATTTAAGTTCATTCCAACAGCCCTTAAAATTGTATGTACAGTTCTATAATCGCTGGCTGCTAGGAAGTTAACTTTTGGTGTTGCCTATAGTAGTAGGTATTTTATTTCAGATTTTACAACAGGCTGAGTGATTTCAGAATAATGCAGAAAGCATACACACAGATGGTATCACAGAGCTACAGCTGAGTAATTCAGCAAGAAGAAAGAAGAAAATAATACCTCAGATACCATAACCCAACCTGAGAGGTAGATCCTTCACAATTTTGGAAGACTTATCTCTTCCTGAAAACCCCCAGAGAGAGAGATCACAGTACTTTTTGCTTCTCTGAAAGTCAAGTGTTTTTAAGTCAGTATATCTGGAAGCATCCTCGAAGCAACCTATATTGAAATGAAACTGCCTGCAAGCAATTACTTGATATTTCAACTTCTTCCCCCCCCCCCCCCATTTTCCCCTAGGCAAGAAAACTAAGGTTCTTAGACCACAACACTCTAAAGCAATGAAAGTCCCAAATAAATCCACAAAGCAAGGTAATTCAGAGAAACCCAGGATCAGACTGTTGGGTCATGAAATCTAGCATCCTGCCTCCAGCAAGGCTGGATTTCATCTCTAGTACATCTAGAGACTGTGCGATGCTTACTATTTGGCCATCAACTCATGGTCCAAAGAATGGCATATCACCTTTATCCATACTGTTGCTACAAATATTAGTCAGAACTTCATCTAGTCTGCTTGGAAATACAAGTGATTGTATATAATTCTGCTTAGCAGTAGATTGAACCTCTTCTCAGATACTACCTGATTTACTTTCCTAGACAAGTCTAGGTATTGAAGACATCTTAGAGCAATGTGTGGCGTTACAGTTAATGCAACTGAACCACAACTAAAATGATACAACATGACAAGATATTAGAAGACTGTCTAATGTCCTCAAACCTATGAATTGTGGTAAAACCAGAGGCTGAAGTCCAAATGTCTTCAGCCAGCAGCACCCCACAGTGATTATCAATAAAAACTTAATCTTTTTGGTTCCACACAGTTATTTTCTGTTTTAAATATCTGCAAAAATGTGGTATCACAGATACTTTGTGAAAAACTGACTTCTGATGCAGATAATAGCATTAAAAACTAGTATGTCTTGCATTCTCCCTCTAATCTACTGTTCAGGTCTCTGAGTAGAAATGTCCATGGCACTCACTTTGGTATTTAATCTAAGCTAATTCAGACTGGAAATAAGGTGGAACTTTTTAACAATGAGAATAGTTAACCACTGGAACAATTTAAAGGGTTGTGGTGGATTCTCCATCACTGGAAATTCTTAGATTAAGATTGCATGTTTGTCTAAGAGATAGGCTAGTTCAAGCAGGAATTTATTCAGGGAAATCCTGATTATATGTTTTTGTTTCTTAATCTTACTTCTGTGTCTTAACTTAATAGATTGCATCTATTTTCCTTTATCATGTCAATTCCAAAAATGAGTTGCAAAGATGAAAGACTCTTGCACTTGTGACAGATTTGTCTATATCTGTATTGAACTATAAAGCTCATGGTGTTCACTAGCAAAATTTTGATCGGAAACAGTAAGGTGCCTTCACTGTTGCTTTAACATCCATATTGAACTGGGATTCCTGTATGTGTTAGAGCAGTGGTTCTCAAACTAGGGCCGCCGCTTGTAGAGGGAAAGCCCCTGGCAGGCCGGGCTGGGTTGTTTACCTGCAACTTCCGCAGGTTCAGCCGATTGCGGCTCCCACTGGCTGCAGTTCGCCGCTCCAGGCCAATGGGGGCTGCAGGAAGCGGCGCGGGCCAAGGGACGTGTTGGCCGCCCTTCCTGCAGCCCCCATTGGCCTGGAGCGGCAAACTGCGGCCAGTGGGAGCCACGATCGGCCGAATCTGCGGACGCGGCAGGTAAACAAACCAGCCTGGCCCGCCAGGGACTTTCCCTGAACAGGCGGCGGCCCTAGTTTAAGAACCACTGTGTTAGAAGGCAATCAAGTGGAAGACCATTCAGGTTAAATGGAAACACCCTAGAACAATGAACTGACTGCAGGCCAGAGGAACCAGTTCTCCCAGGTGGGTTCTTAACCAAGCAATGAATCATTTGATGAGGCACTTGAAGCCACTCAGAGGAGTCACCTGACAGAGGGTACTGAAACCTTATAAAAGGACTCTCCTCTCTCCACCAAATTGGGGGGAGATCAGAATAAGAACACAGACCCGGGCAGGTGGAAAAGAGGAATCCTGACTGCCCTGGAAGGACATTAAAACCCAAAGGACCCTCAGGCAGGATGAAGAAACTGAGGCATGGATTTATATGCAGGTTTTGTTATTTTTCTATAGATATGTATATCTCTTGTGCTGTGTCTAGGAATAAAGCTGGTTTGGAAATTTCTTTGCGAAGTCTGTTACTGCTTTGACTCTCACAAAGCCCCAAAGAGGGGAAACCAGTCATTCAGAGAGTCCCCAGCTGTGGTGGGACTCTGGGGAGCATGCAAGAATGAGTGGGGAGGCTGAGTACAGCTGGCACTAAAGAGGAAGGCTTGTAATTGGCTCTGACGTGGTTCAGACATTAGATAATTTGATTTCAGTATTAATATTTAATCAGCTCCAGGTTATCGATTTAATTGAGCTGGGGGGCCATTTTTGAGTTGAGGGTTATAACCCAGTTAGTAGCTGAAAACCTGTGTTATTGCATGGCTACAGTTCATGAGCCCACGTGCTTTAAAGAAAAAGGCCAAAAATGGCTGAGAACTAAAAAACTGGCCAGTAACAAACTGCGCATCTCAGTAATGATCGAACCTGTGATATTCCAAACAAAGCGACCTCAACCATGCTTGTAGCTGTTTCTTTCACTTCATGCTGACCCCGACATTCTAGGCTTCAGAGTGATGTTTGGAGTTATTCTGCACGTGGGGTGAGGTGTGCTGTGCTGGGAAAGCTGGGTGGATTTGTGAAGGTGGCAAATGAGGTATGTGCTGCAGAGAGGGCTTATGAGTTTGGGGTTATTGTGTGTGCTGTTGATTTGTGTCTAAGGGCGTTTGTGCTGGGATATTTGTGTTGATTTGTGAGAGTGGCAGTTAGGCATATGGGTTTGGAAGTTGGGTCAAGTAATGCAGTCTCCCTCTTACAACCAATGAAACTGTTGCATGCAGATAAGCTGCAGAGTAAGGGCAGTGATTGGCTGAGTTACCTCTGATATTATCATGATCTAGGGTTCTTGGCATGGCATACATACATGCCTTATTATAGCATGGGTGTAATTCATAAAGTCAAAATAGCTGAAACTTAAATTGGATGGTAACAGACCGCAAAACCCAGTGATGTTTCAACCTGGTGATATTCTGAACAAAGAGAAGGTCTCAACCATGCTTGTAGCTGCTTTCATCACTTTGCACTGACTCAGATATCTTAGGCTTCAGAGTGACAATCCTAGAATCTTATATACCGGTATATATGAACAGCCACCTCTTTATATTCCTTCTTAGGGTTTACTATTGCATTAATCTAACTATTTAACTACATTGATTTCAATCTAATATTGATACTAACTTGTTGATTTGACCTTGATTTGATTTTGGTTTAATATTCAGTTTAATATTATTATTAATGGTAGCTTAGTTTTGGGGATATGTTTCCTTGATTTTAGTTTTAATAGTTGTAAAAGTTTACAAAACTGATACTGAGTCACATTTGCTTCAATAAGCAGCATGGGTCTAGAATCTTTGAGACGCTGGCTGAATATCAGCTAGTCAGAGCCGGACCATTTCCCCTGATTAGTCTTATTTCTCACATCAGAATCAGGCCCCCTTTATCATTATCTTCCCTCTTTGCAGAGCACTAAAGAGGAGAGAGATGGTAGCTTGCCCGTCCTAACTAACAAGGCTCTGTTATTCTGTGGGTTTCAGTTCTGGTCTCCAGGAAAATAATTGCCATTTTTCAGACTACAGTTCTCAGTGTGGTTCAGTCAGCTCTCAGGATTTCTAAAGTAGCAACTACAATGTTAGTATCCTTAAATGAATGCTTGAAGGGCTCTTAACAAAAATAAAATAAACCACCAACTCAAACTACAGATGTTGGCCCCATAGCCAAACACTTAAAGATAGGCTCCAGCTGACCCTTGCAGCTGCATGAACTGCCTGAAAAACCTTATAAAGCCCCTACCGTGGTTCTTGTTGGAGTCATGCAGCTAAACACTACAATCTACTTAGAAAAACAAAAATGGCATTTTAATGTCATTTCCCCAGTTCTTATTTAGAGATACATTGGAGAAATTTCATCATGAAAATCCTTAGTGAAAATCCTGTAGATCCCCTTTATAAAGCATTAACGTTAAGATGCAGAAAACAGTATGACTAGTCTCTCTTCAAAAATATGTAGCCATATAACTTCTTTTATTTCACTTTAGAAAGATCTGCTTAACTATAAAAGTAATTTGACTGGACACCTAATGACCAGCACAACTGCTAATCAGATTCCAACCATAAAAAATGATCAAATGCAGTATGAACTGCAGTAGAGGAATTTCAAAGTGCCAGGAATACTTTTATTGTGATTTAAATAGCATTTCCCTGAAAGTGAGCATTTAATACCACTGGCTTCAAGTTATCCATGAAGGATAGTTCAGAAAAAGTATCCCTTATTGTACACTCTTCTTACCATGGAAGGTAAACATAGCAATGATGATTCTGAGTTGTAACAATTGCTCTCTAACAATAATAGATTACTCGAATATAGACAGAGTCAAGAATCTTCATTTCTATTATAACTCTCGAAATGCCTTCTTTCAGAAAAATATGTACTCCTGGCAAAAAACTGCCATAAGAACAACAACAACTTTATCTTTTGATTTTTCTCTTTCTGAAGCAAATTCCCAGGTGTTTTCAGTAATTTCACATTCTTACAGAGCCTAATTTTTCAGTTTCATTGCCAGTAGTGGGGCTGCTGTTTTATTTACTTCACCAGACAAAACTAATCCCAGGTTTAGCTTTGCCTATGATACTTGTGAAAGAAAATGTTTGTTTTGTGATGCTCAGATACAATACAGTAGAACCTCAGAGTTACAAACACAAGAGTTACGAACTGACCGAACAACCACACACCTCATTTGGAACTGGAAGTACACAGTCAGGCAGCAGCAGATATAAACAAAAAAAGCAAATATAGTACAGTACTGTGTTAAACTACTAAAAAATGAGAAAGCAGCATCTTTCTTCTGCATAGTAAAGTTTCAAAGCTGTACTAAGTGAATATTCAATTGTAAACTTTTGAAAGAACATCCATAATGTTTTGTTTGAAGTTACAAACGTAGAGTTACGAACAACCTCCATTCCCAAGGTGTTCATAACTTGGAGCTTCTACTGTATTGGGGAGTTTAAAACAGTGATTTCCAACCATGAGCATGGACAGCAGTTCTGATACTGCTATCTACATGCTTTTCAAACTCCATCATTGCAGTGTCTGAGCACTCCAGTCATTCATCAATTTATCCTCTCAGTACTTGAGAGGCAGGAAATATCTACATGTTACAGATGAGAAAAATGAGGCACCGATTGACTTGCCCAAGGTCGCACAGGAAATCTGTGGCAGAGACCGGAAATAAACACAGCTCTTAGGTCCCAAACCAGTGGCTTAAGCACAAGCCTATCCTTTCTAACCACACTTTGCGGTCCTTGCAACTGGCACACTAGGCCCTCCTGCCAAGATAACCCTCAGTGTATCCTAAGTATAGCTACTGTCAGCTCCCTGTTCAGCTGTGTATTCTCCAACCATCTATGAACATGAGCTTCTCCAAATCTGACTTTCCTAGTCATTAACTGGTGTGCTACTGTGTGAACAATGAATAAGAAAAAGCAGGTAAATGAGGCCTTGGTCTGATAAACTGCTACAGATGCCCCCATAATGTTGAGAACCACTGTTTTAAAAAACAAGAAGCCACTTACTGTACTTGTGTTGAATGTGTGGGATGAAATTCAATGTTGATAAATGCAAAGTAATGCTCATTGGAAAACATAATCCTAACTATACATACAAAATGATGGGGTCTAAATTAGCTGTTACCACACAAAGAGATTGTGGAGTCATCATGGATAGTTCTCAGAAAACATGCACTCAGTGTGCAGCAGCAGTCAAAAGAAAGCTAACAGAACATTAGGAACCATTAGGAAAGGGATAGATAAGACAAAAAATGGCATAATGCCACTGTATATATTCATGGTACAACCACACCTTGAATACTGCGTGCAGTTCTGGTCACCCCCCATCTCAAAAAAAATTATTAGAATTGGAAAAGGTACAGAGAAGAGCAACAAAAATGATTAGGGGTATGGAACGTCTTCCGTACAAGGAGAGATTAAAAAGACTAGATTGTTCAGTTTATAAAAGAGACTCAAGGGGGTACAATAAAGGTCTATAAAATCACAAATGGTGGGGAGAAAGTGACTAGGGAAGTGTTATTTTACCTCTTCACATAACAAAAGAACCAGGGGTCACCCAATGAAATTATTAGGCCGCAGGTTTAAAACAAACGTAAGGAAGTACTGCTTCACACTATTATGTAAACAGCCCAGATGAGGGGCCCATTATTAAAACTGGAAATTAGGAGTCTTCTTTTAAGTGTGTGTGCACACACACACCTACAAATGTGCTTATAGTTACCAGAAGTACAAGTACATGTGTTTCATGCACATGTACATGGGGCTCTCGGTTTTAAAAACATAGCCCAGAACACAAGTATCCCCATGATAGTACAGTATAGTAAGTAATATTTTAACTTACTGGTCTTGGTAAGCTATACTGATACATTTCTGGTCTATATGTTGGCACCCACTGTACTCCCCCTCTGGGTCGGGTCATGGTACCAGGAGCACTGGTCACCACTTCAGAGTATGGTAAGTGTTGTGCTGAACTGTGAGCATCTTGTCTGTTCTGCCCTCCATGGCCTGCAGATGCCAGACTAAATGCCTCTTCCAATAGCATATGCATCTGTTGTCTAACTTCATCAATGGAAGGCTGAGAACTTAAAGTTGATGTCTCAGAATGGCCTTTAGCCTGACGGGATCTGGTATAACTTCGAGGTTCATTGACACGGTCAACATTTGTTTCTTCTATCATTTCAGGTTCTGTCTGTTGGATAAAATAAAAGCATTTTATATTCACACATGCTTATAAGAACAGTGGTCTGTGTTGCTTTTTAACATATTTTTTCCAACACAGATACATCAGAAGTTTCTCATGCCCAGGCACAAAATGGTATAATTCATGAGACCATATAAACCATATATTACAATTTTTAAGTCAGTTGCAGCTGTGAGTGCCCAGAATTTCTGCATATCAGACCCAGGGTCTCAAGTTAGGCAACCAAAATAATGAGGAACACATAATTAGTGACCACCTGTAAAAAGTTTGGTTTAAGTGATATGCCCAGCATGATACAGGAACGCTGGCAAAAGCAGGGATAGAATTCAGTTCTCTAGGACAGCTTTCAACTGCCTTAACCATGAGACCATCCTTTCCCTTCCTGCAATTCTCTGCCTCATTCTCTACAGCCTTCCAGCTTCTGCAACAAATGAGGCAGGGGTCCAAGAGACAGTCTCTTTCACTACACAGTTCTGATTCATCTCCAGAGCATATCCATTCTGTGCATCAAATAAGGCGGCCAGGGGGTGGGGGGGTCTTGTGGAAAAAATAGTATGACCATATAACTAAAGACTATCATAATGCACATGACAAGAGGCCCTATTTCTGGCATGTCCTAACTTTTGAGTGCTTGACTTTGCAACCATAAAAGCTTTATTTTAAAATGTGTGTGTGTGTGTGTGTGTGTGTAATTATTGTGAAAGCTTTAATTCTTCCTCTCTTTCACATTTAAAGGGACATCATTAACTTTAAAAAACTCACAGCTATTGGAATGTTTTTTTCCATCTAATGTAAGAAGGAACACCTAAGAGAGAAATACTGCTATTTTCATCTTTCTCATTTCATTTACTTTGTGCATTCATGGGCCATCATTTTCTCCCTTTATGGTTAGTCGGTTTTCTTTGTTTGTGTGGGTTTTCCACACACCACACATGAAGGAGAAAATCTTTTTTAAAAATAGGTAAATATAATTGTAAACCCAAGAAAACTGCCAGGGAGACTCAGAGGCAAGTGAAATTATTTAACTAATTTTTAAAAATTAGAGTTCAAGTTGACAATGTCCCTTTAATTCTTAGTATTAATGAGTCCAATGTGTATCAAAAGAGAGACTAGACCCACAAATGTTACAAAAACCATACATGATCACTTGCAATGGACCCCTCAGCTCCATGTACTAAGTCTTCTTGTTCATTCTTGAGAACAAGTGTTGAATGCTTGACTTTGCAACCATAAAAGCTTAGGACGTGCCAGAAATATTTAAAAATATGTGTGTATGTGAATAGCTGGCCAATCGTGTGCATTCCCTGGCTCTCTCAGTCTTTAAAACTCTCTGGTTTGTGATTTGGGATAAGATCTGGATTATTTGCAATGGGTGTCAGTGGTGGGCGGAAAAAAATGATCTTCTCTAGGAGTAGAGTAGCCTTTGCGAAAGGATGTGTATACATTTATAGAGGTGGTTTTTTTTTAATCCATCCATGGTGTTATGGACTAGGATGTAATCGGTCGGGCCTATTAGAGCAGGAGTCAGGTCTAGTGGGTGGAGCAGGTGTCCAGTTTAGAGAACAATGCCAAGGGTCAGCACCAGAGTCAATTGCCAGTTGCCAGAGTCAGGGGTCAAGCCAGAGTCAGAACCAGGAGTTGAAGCTGAGGGTCAGAGCCAAGGTCAGATACCAAATGCCAGAGCCACGGGTCAAGCCAGACTCAGGGTCAGACGTCTGAGGCCAGGGTTGGAGCCAGGACTGGTAACTGATGATTGGAAGCGAGGTGTAACTGGCAGGAACTGGAGGAGAGGCAAGGATCAAGCACGGAACAGGAGCACAGTATAGGGGTGAAGGGAGGGGTGATGCAGGAGCCAGGAGTGGAGCAGGAATCAGGAACAGGGTTGGGTGCAGGAGACAGGCACAGAATGCAATGGTGAAAAGACAGGACCTATAGTTGTTTCTAAGAAGTTCCAAATTCGAGCCTTGCTTTGCCATAGCTTATTTTTCAGAAAAAAAGTCAATGCACTTTGGAATTAAACAAATCGCTACATAGAATCAATTCTCACAAACATTAAAAATCAAAAGTCTGATTTCTATATTAACTGCCTATAGTTAATGTGACACTGCACCAGACATCATTTGTACAAATATATTTCCTCCATGATTGTTCTATTTATGTAGAGGATGAACAAACAAGGAAATTCCAGTACAGTAACTATAAAATATGGAGAGTTTTTGGGTATACACACACAGCTAATAAAGCTTTGGAGGTCACAGTGCTCCCTCTTTCAAGATTAATAGGTATAATCATGGCCTATTTCCTCAAGCCTGTAAAAGTGTCAGTGACTAGAAACCCACAAGAGCTCTATTAATACCTAATGCTGAAATAAATCAGGTGCCCAACTACAGCCCTGTAATTAAGCCATTACATTTCTAGAGTCTTTGATCCTTTCTTGAAAATGAAGAAAATAGTGCTAAAATATACAATAAGAATAATGAACAGGAGTACTTGTGGCACCTTACAGACTAACAAATGAAACCTGCCATAAGAATAATGATTCCTTACCAGAACTTCATGCTACAACCTGACTCAATACTAATATTAGGATGACCAGGCAGATTTTGGAGGAGGCTGTTGTGAAGGATGAACATTTATTCAAGTTTTAAAATCTAGTTGCATTAATTCATCATATATGCTTGGCTTGTATTATTTACTGTTTATTTTCATTTCACACTGAAAAACATCAGAATTATAAATATTCAGGAATAAGTGTGAATGTTAAATTGTGAAGGACCTGAAGAAGAGCTCTGTTTAAGCTCAAAAACTTATCTTTCACCAACAGAAGTTGGTCCACTAAAAGATATTACCTCACCCACCTTGTCTTTTTAATATCCTGGGAATAACAACATAAGAACGGCCATACTGTGTCAGACCAAAGGTCCATCTAGCCCAGTATCCTGTCTTCCAACAGTGGTCAATGCCAGGTACCCCAGATGGAATGAACAGAACAGGTAATCATCAAGTAATCCATAACATAGGTACAATATCATGGGACAACTACTGAAGATATTACAATGCCATTATATAAATCAATGATATGCCCTCACCTGAAAAACTGTATTCAGTTCCAGTCACCCAGTTTTAAGAAGAAGGAGATAGCAAACACAGCAGTCCAGAGAAATCCACGGAAAATGGTTATAAGGAAAGAAAGACTTCCATACAGGCCAAAGTCAAAAATTTTGGACTGTTTAGTTAAGAGGGCAATAAGATAAGAGGGGATGTGATAGAGGAATAAAAAATGTTACTTAGGGTTACCATACGTCCGGATTTCCCCGGACATGTCCGGCTTTTTGGTGCTCAAATCCCCGTCCGGGGGGAATTTCCAAAGCGCCGGACATGTCCTGGGAAATAGGGAGGCATAAGCCAGGGTCCACCCAACACGATCCGCTGGGTCCGCAGCGCAGCCCAGCTGCCCTGGCTACAATGCTCGGGTCACAGAGGCTGCAGGGGCAGGGGGGTGCAGAGGCTGCAGGGCGAGTGAGGAGCAGGGGTCACAGAGGCTGCAGGGGCGGGGGTGCAGGGGCAGGGCAGGCGGGGGGGCGCAGAGGCTGCAGGGGCGGGGGGGGTGCAGGGGCTGCAGGGCGAGTGAGGAGCAGGGGTCACAGAGGCTGCAGGGGCGGGGGGGTGCAGGGCGAGTGGGGAGCAGGGGTCACAGAGGCTGCAGGGGCGGAGGGGCTGCAGGGCGAGTGGGGAGCAGGGAAGCACTTAGCAACTCCCAACCAAGATCAGAGCGGGAGGGAGGAGAGGGAATGCAGGGTACTCAGAGAAGGGGGCAGAATTGGGGCAGGGAATTTGGGGAAGGGGCGGGGTTGGGGCGGGGCCGGGGCAGAGTTGGGACGGGGCCGGGGGTGGGGAAGGGGCGGAGCTGGGGCAGGGCCAGGGCCCCCGTGGAGTGTCCTCTTTTTTCAGTGTTGAAATATGGTAACCCTATGTTACTGATACAGAGAAGGTAGATTGGATGATCCTATTTGCCTTTTCTCACAATACAAGAACAAGGCAAGACAATGTATTGCCAACTCATGATTTTATCAGGTCTTGCAATATTTTTAATTATTTTATTAAATCTGCTGATTCATTATTTTGAATGATTGCGGTTGGTAATACTGCATACACATACCTAATAATTAATCTGTGGAATTCATTGCCACAAGAAGTGGATTCTAAAAAAGAAGGATTAGACATTTATTGCTCTGAAAACACTGGCAGTTACATCAGAGAGGATCCACTTGAGGTCTTCAGGCAGAACTAATTTTATGCAAATTACCACTACATAGCCATAGCCAACTATAACATGAAGGGAAGAGGAACAGCAAAGGCATGCTTGATGTACATAAACCATGGAGTTTGAGATTAGGGCCTTTTGGAATATGAATGAATTAGTTACATTACTTACAGCTTTTTTAAAGACTCGCACTACCCCTCCTCCTCCTCTTCCCCCCTCCCCCCCCCCCGCCAAAATAGCTTAAATTCAGCACCATAAAATCCTTATTTTTATATTTTTGAGTTAATGACAGGAATCCATGTATGCCTACACAAAGTTTTCAACTACTAATATTCCAGAGCCATGTTACCTACAACCCTACCCAAATCCATTAAGAAATAGCACATAATACAGATCTGCTTTTCTTGGGTCATTCAATCTTTTGATTACCTAGGGAGGCTGGACTTGAAAATTTTTGCTACCTAAATGTTTCTTTTTAGAGAAGCTTGCATAAGTAGAAGATACTGAAAATACTTTTTTCTTTTCACAAAACCTTTAGAGTTTGTTTAACTACAGATTTTGACAGAATAGCCTATTTAAGTGTGTGTAATCTCAAAAAGTATTCCAGTTAATTAGACTATGCTGTATCAGTCATCCTCATTACCTGACATATTGATGATTTACACAATCCAATAGGAAGTGTCACCATGCAAGAAACATTTAAGAAATCTGATGAATATAACAT